TCCTTTCCTCTCCTCTCCTCTCCTCTCCTCTCCTCTCCTCTCCTCTCCTCTCCTCCCCTCCAGCTGCCTTTGTATTATTAGTTATATTCCATGTTATTTAAAAATAGTATTGGGGGAGATATAGAATCATGGCAAAATAAATACTCTATAGTTCCTCAACTTCTTTTCTCTGTTTTAGGCCATGTTAAGTTACACTTGCTTTATCTTCATTTTAACAGAGTCTTGATGAGAAATCTTTTCGTTGGGCATTTCCATACTGCAAAGGATAAGCGTCATGAGGTACTAAGGCTAATGGGAAGTATTCTAGGAATTAAAAAGGATGAACTAGAGCAGGTAATTCTTATCTCTCCTTTGGGTGTGTTTTGTCTATTTAAATGTCAATAATGTATTATTATTTAAATGCTGGGCTAAACCCAGTGAATCTACTGCTACGCATCTTCAATTTAATCATTAGTGAGAAGAAAAAAATTCCTTTGAGACAAAAGATCTTCCTAGTTTTATATCCTGCTAAGGGGTGGGAGAACAACAGCTAAGTATTTCATATAGGAGAATGGATTTTGCAATCTGAAACAATGTATTTATTTTATTTATTTATTTATTGGATTTCTCTCCCGCCCATCTCCCCTACAGTAGGGGACTCTGGGCGGGTTTCCATTTTTTAAGCATAAATTATTTTTTCTTGTCAATAATGAAAAAGAAAAGCCTGATATTTTACTTGAAAAATAGCCAATTTGAACTTTTCCTTTTAATTTAAATTGCTCTCTAGTTACTGACCGGAGATCAAAAAGGTGTTACACAATGGGTGACTGGCTGGTTTGGTGGAAGAGCTGCTGAATCAAAAAGTGTCCCCAATACACCTCTCAGACCAAGCCAACAGTCGATTTTCAACAGTGTAAGTGTTTTGAAGTAAATCCTTTTTATAGAAAATGTAGAACTTTTTATGTTGTAAATGCTGATGTTTTACGCCATTACTTTTAGACTTTAAGAGCTGAAGTTCTACATCAATATTCTTGCTTTTCTATTTCAGTTCAATTTATTTTCTAGTTGTTCATTTTTCACAATGTTTCTCATATTTAATTGTTTTCTCTTTGGAAAAAAATACACTGCTCATTAATTTTTGTTATATATAATTTTGTTTCAGGATTTTGCTCATGAACTCTCTGCTTAATGTCTCTTGCTTTTGTTTTGTTTTTTTAAACACAAACTGACATAGACTTTTTAATTAATGAGAATCTCAGCTGTTTTTGTGCTACATGTATAAAATCATATACCCAACTTTCTGTTCCAAGGTTCTAGAACCATACTGAACTAAATTGAAATATTATTCCAAAATCATATACTTTTAGAATGGGTGAAATTTGTTAGGTTACCTGAGAATCTGGCAATAAAGGCAAGTGTTGAACCTTTCTATTGGGTAGAAGGGGAATGGTCATAAACTCAGGTTACCTTTCTTTCAGGTAAATATATTACTTGGCAATCTGATAAAATTAAAAATATTCTTTTGGAGATTGGCCTTCAGATGAGCCAGGAACTATGATTCCTAGGAATCAGCTACCAAACTGTCATAATCTTAGTGCAGGGGTCAAACTCTTAATCAACTCATCTTGAATTGATAAGTCAAATACATCATGTCTTTCCTAAAATGTTTGCAGTAGTTAAAAAAATGTTTGCATCTTTTCAGTCTTTCTCAGAACTGTTTGTGAAGTTCCTTGAAACAGAATCACGGCCAACTCTTCCCCCACCAAAGCTTTCTCTTGATAACATGAAGCCTTTAGGAATGACAGGAATTAGTAGTCCTTCCAGCAATCTGGCAGGTAATGTCTCCATTTTCAAAATTTTACATTATATTGAATTTTGTAATATTATGTTGGGTTTTCAAGACTGTATTTATTTAAATGGTTACAAAATATAAGGAGAACGGTGAGTACATTTAGAAGTGCTAACTTAGCAAATCTCTATACTCTGTTACTTGAAGTTAGTCTGTTACCAGCTCATAGAACCAGTGGTCACCTCATGCTAACAAATCAGTGGTTATAAATGAATTCTGAATACCTCTGATTCTTTAACATTTTTATTATAAGATCATGAATTATGATCTGCATCTCCAGGGCAACAATTTCATAGCAGCAAAAGAATACATGGGGTATTGAATATGGTTTTTAATGTGACATTAAAACCTCTGTAAGAAGAATGTTGCTTGCTGCAGATTTGCTAAAGTTTAGCGCTTACGAATGTTGGCTTAAAATTATTGTAGTAAACTTGAAAGATTTCCAGTCTGAAACCTTATCTTGAAAGTTTGTGCTTCCAATCATATATGTTTTATATTCCTTTTGTTCTCTTGTTACTGTCGGTATAATAGTGAAAGTGCCCTATTTTGCTTGGCGATCACCCAGTTTTCTTGTCTGGCTAAACCTTTGGAAGGACAAGTTCTATTCCAGGAACTGGATTGTTGCCTTATAGAACCAGACATACATTTTCTATCCCTTAATCATTTGGGTAATTAAGATTGTTTTTTACATAAAGAGTAGACTAAAAGCCACAAATACATTTCTCAGGTCAGTTTCTATGAATGAAAGATTTATTTGTGACTTTGTTTATGAATTCTGTTTCTTGTAAGGAAAACAAAGTTTCTGTTCAGATTTTTGTAGAGAAACTAAAGCTAAAGGCCTGAGTTATAAACCTGGGCACATATGAATGCAGGACTCAGAGTGCAAAGAAATGAACCTACCTGTAAAATACCAAATGTGAGTTGGGTAGTAGAGGTAGTGCCAGTTCTCTTGAAGAAAGATATAATCTTCATGGTCTTGAAAGAGGCTTCACTGAAATAATTCCTGGATAGGTAATAAATAGGTTGTTGTACTTCTGAGACTGGAAAACTGACTGACTTACATTGGTAGGTGACTTTGACCAGAAAATGGACAGGGAGGATGCAACACATTCAGAGAACCTCTGATTCTCTGAATGGCATTGTGTAATAAATAACTTTGACATGAAAAAATGCAAATTCCAGAAACATAAATTACTAGTTTCAAAAAGTCTAGACAAATGAACATTCAGTCAGGCATCCAAAATTAACTTGTATATTAATGTAAGTCTGTGTTGACTATCAGCATCATACATTCAATTTTTCATCAATGTCATAGTGATAAAATAGGCAGCTGGAAGCATTTAGCATTAAATTTACATTTTTCACCAGGTCTCAGCATTACTAAACTACATTTCATTTTCACAGTGAAATTTTATAGGATGCTATTTTTTATGATTCTTTTGTAGTTAATTCACTTTTAAAATATTTTGTGGAGATCATTCTAATCATACACTTCTAACAGCTGTACAACAATGGAAGATTTGTACTTTATTGTGCTATGATTTGCCTGTGTATGTATATGAAATGTATATTGTTTTTGGGCCCTCATATTTTCGGTGCTTGGAAAACCTTGAAAGGCATTTCCTCTTTTTTCCCCCCAGTTTCTCAATTGTTAATTTATTGTAGAATTAATTATAATGTATATTTGATCATTTTGGATTCTGTTTTTTTTGTATTTTGTATATCATCCTGAATACTTGAGTAGAAATGTAGGATATAAATAAAATAAATGATAATTTGTTATTGATGTCCATACATTAAATATTTAGAAAGGATTAAATTGGTCTGTTGATAGAGAAAAGAGCAGCATATGGGTTGTAAGCTGAAAACAAAATTATTGTGAAGAATGTCTTGTATATTATTAAATAATTAACTGTATTACTTTGTTTTTTATCAAATGCAACAGGCCCAGGAACCAGTAGAAGACCAGATGTAAATCCATTCCTTGCACCTCGATCAGCCGCAGTACCACTCATCACTCCAGCTAATCCTGGCGCTAGTGGATCTGGGCATCTGCTTATGAAACCCATTTCGGATGCCTTGCCCACCTTCACCCCAATGCCAGTAGCACCTGACGCTAGCGCAGGCGCAGTCTTAAAAGACCTGTTAAAGCAATAGACTTTTATGAATTGAATAGGATAGCACTTTAAACATAATATATTGTACCTATCACAAAGAGGCCTTTTGTAAAAAGTTGTTAGTTTTCAATAGCTCTAAAAGTAAACCATTGTACAGATAAAAACAAATTAACATTGGAGATCTAAACCATTTACTGATAATTCTCCAACTATGCAACATCTGTTTTTACATATTGCTGTCAGTCTAGTCACACATTTTTTTCCTTTTCCTTTTCCTTTCCTTTTCCTCAACAGGCATCTGCTGTTGATCTGGAGTGTCTTTATATATAAATCCAGTTCAGTGGTGATAGAAATAGATGGTCTGCAAAATCCATCTGGTTTAGTAAATACCACTGTAGCTGTTCCCTCTCACAGCTTACAGGGCCTGGAATGATAAGGCAGGAGCGATCTGCTGCTGTGTGTAACATCCCAGTCTGTGCATTAGATCATATTCTGATCTAATTTGGAGCAGAATTCCGTTATGTGAGGAAGTGCATATTATCCAGTCACAGTATCGATCTGGAATACTTTTGTGATTTCAACTGGATCAACAGAGATCACAGAGGAATAAGGATCAACTGACCAAGTCTATTTTTTGGGTAAAATATTAAAAACAAGATCATAGTATCGTCTCTCGATTACTAAGTAATACTCAGCTAAGATAAGATGGATACATTGGGGAGAGCCAGGTTTGTCTTCATTCACACACACACACACACACACACACCATTCTTGAATTCTGTCATAGTGTCTGTAGAAGAAAAAGCTTTTCTTAAAGTTCCATAAGAACTGTAAAAGCCATTCTTTATTTTCCGTGCAAAATGCTTCTGAATTCTTATTTATGAGTTACCTATCAGCATTAAGGAGTTCATGGACATTTTTCTGTTTTCTGCAGATCATATTTAGTGTTGGACCACTAGTAAGAAACCTGATATCCATTTGTAAATTCATCGTGTAAGAATGTTTAAAGTATAGTACTGTAATGAGTTAAGGTGTATATTTAAGAAATAATTGTTTATATTCATAGGTTTCAATGGAAATTTTAAGTATGAATATATGTATAAAGCTGCAATGAAGGATGATGCTTAATCCAAATATGTAAATAAGTCCAAATAAGAACAAATAGAATTCTGCAAAACTAGCTGTACAGACTTGTTCTTTCCCTTTTGGAACAATAATTAGAGACACATCACATCTTTACAAAGTGGGGTTTTTTCCCCCCATAAAGCTATTTATGACATTATTCTTATGACTAGTATTAAAAGATAATTTTACATCAAATTCAATTAGTTATTCTTGCTGTCAAGTGGCTTATATCAATGGAAGAGGGCTGCATTCCTCCTCTCCTCCCAACAATCCCCTTATGTCTTCAAAAATATATAATGGTGGAGTAAATAGGGCGGGGGATGGCACAAGGGAAAGAAGTAGAAGAGAATATTATGTTGCATGAACAAAAGTTCTTTAATAAAACCCTGGATTTTGTGCAGGTTGGTTTTTGAATTTAGAATTTCTGTGATGCCTATTTCCTACTCTGCTGTTTGAACTGATATTTGAGTATGAAGTGAATCATGCAAATGCTGCTACTTAGATGCTTTCAAATTAATGGGAAAAGCCTTTTGTTTCTCTTTGTATCTAGATAGAATTCCACACCCTTAACAAATTTGCCAAGGTTTCAAAAGTGTCTATTAATAATTGTTTTTTTTTTATTTCATATTCTTAACAGGAGTATTCACTGATTCTATTTTTTATACATCGGAAGAGGATGTTTCATTCCAAATAGACACTCAAGGATGGATTGTGGTTTAGAAATTTTATATCGATTTCTGAAAGGTTAATTCTCAATATTAATTTATAAGCAGTTTTTACTTTCTGAATTCTCAGTTAGTGGACACGTTTTCTGTATGAAAATGCTAAATTTACATTTTCAGAACAGTTTCTTCATGCACGTTAGACCACTTGAAAAGTTTTTATGGAATGGCTAAACATTTTTCCAATAGATTGCAAAGATGTATTTTGTATATCTATATTCTGTGGCATACATTTTATATCAAAGTATTTCACCATAATGTCCAGATCATTTATTGCTTATGAATATAACCAGATGGCACCTAAGAACAAGCAGAAGCTTTGTACTCTAATGGACTCTGCATTCGTATACCGGTTCTTTTGTCGAGAGCTCTGTACATTCCATGCTTACTCAGTGCAGGTGCCTCAATATGAGCCCAAAATTCAGGACGGGCTCACGAACTCTCTGCTTAATGTCTCTTGCTTTTGTTTTTGTTTTTTTTAAACACAAGGTGACGTAGACTTTTTAATTAATGAGAATCTCAGCTGTTTTTGCGCTACGTGTATAAAATCAGCATTCCTATTCTTAAAAATAAAATGCATAGACCTCAGCATTACAAAGAGGGAGATGAAAGCTCATTTATAATAATTCCATAGCTAATTAGCAGAACTTCTGAGATAACAGAAATGGAACGATTTATGGAGATTGAAACATTTATCCTTTGCACAGGATTTAGTGCGTACGGTCCTTTAGTGCATATAGTCCAACTTGTTGCCCAATAGCCTCTAAGAAGCCATTATTAGAAGTGTTGAATGAAAATACTAAAATAAGATAGTGGTTATATTTATATTCAAGGTATATAAATCTTAATTTATTCTCCTGAAATTATTTTTTTCTGTCATGAAAACATGAGAGTTGATGTTATTAGATCAGATCTTTGCAATTCTGTACGATCCCAGGTCTAGTACATTCATTTTGCTCCAAAGAAATTCTAGATATGCAAATTTATGTCTGACTATCTGAGGCTCAATACGGCTACATAACAATGCCCATTCTAACTGAAAATGGTATAGATGGATGACTTTCTGGATTCATACTTGGAAGCTATATGTGCAGCAGGATGCGTGTGCAAATAGCTATCCATACATAAATATTTGGATTTAAATTTAAGTGCATATCCGTAGGGAAGGTATGTGTGGTAAATATAAATATATTTCTGGATACAACCTCATGAATGGTACTTTACGTACAATTATGGAACTACATGTAGATGTACAAATGATTACATAAAGGACGTGCATCTATACTTTCACAATGGTTTCAGTGAAGGATAACATTTTGTTCTTTTGTTAATAACATTAAAAACAATTTAGGAACTTAATCTAAAGGGCAGACATGATCACATGAAACTCATACTAACGGGCTGTAGTTGTACATCCATATTTGATATTTGGCACTGGTAAGTTGTTTTTAATTATGATTAGTGGTACAGAACTTACTTGATTTGTTTATAAAGTCATTGCTTGTTACTGTAAATTAAGATCTAACAGTGTTCTGAGTAAAAATTAGGACAAATTTTCCTCTTCCTTATATCTAGCCTTATGCCTCATTATAATTTTTTCTCTCCTTATGTCAGTTGGGTAGTTTGTTAGTTGATATATCTTCCTAATACCCCGTCCTTCATATGGAACAAATATCCTCTCTTTGAAGGTGCACAGAGTGACACAACAGGATGGGTTGAGGATGGGTCTAGAATGCTAAAACCTTATATAAATATGAAATTGCTTGAAAGCAAAATAGCTAAGATTCACACTGGAGAAGGTTTGTAGCTCCCCCCCCCCCAAAAAAATCCCTGAATCTGTTTGTAATTGTTCCCATGGTACATCCTAAATGGTGGAGCTCTCTGAGGGATAGAATTACAGAGGCTTGGTTTCTGCTGCAGTCAAAATTAATTTGGTACAGTGCACAAACCAATAGAGTAAATGGGAAAGGATAGGTTAATAATACTTGATAATGGAAGAAGATAAAATAATGATTTGCTTATGTGCTTTCAACATTATTATACTTACATCAAAAATATCTTGTTGAGTTCTCTATTATTTAACTCTGGAAATTTTATCTTTAACTGCTGCATGTTACATTCATTGTACTTACCTGCATTTAAAAGGAAGATGCCGTGTTTTGGCTAGATCAATGTGGTTGTATGATCACTATTCAAAATCAATGCCATCATTACAGCATAAGACATGGTTAGTAAATCCTACTTAGTGCCTTGGCATATTCCTGGGTATTTGCATGCATATGTAAGAAAGACACTGCTGGAAGTGAAGAAGTGACAGCTGAAGGATACCTCCTATTAGCAATGTCAGGGTGCTGTGCAATGGTTGTGATCATCATGCTTAATTAAATAAGTCACGATTGGCTAGATTCATACAATATGCTATCCAATAGCCCATGATTTACAAATTACACTGGCTGGATTTATAAGTTACACTAAGCCACAAACAAACCACAGTTTGGCTTTGTGTGTCGTGAACCCTGTCAACCTCAAAAGTGGGGAGATGGAGAAATTAGTTATCTACCAAGGACAGAAGACTTCCAAGGTCCCTTCCAAACCTATGATGCTATGACAATAGTTAGAAAATCAGGAGAAGAGGAACGCTTGGAATTACACACTGTCTCTTTCCCTTCGGATAGTAAAAGAACAGTCTGCACTTATCCCAAAAATTAAGACAAAATTAATTTATACATAAAGTATGTGCTTTTAAAGGTGAGATCATTTGAATGTGCTACAAAGCAATTGCAAGTCCATTAGCATAAGCACTAAGCCGCTGAGATTCAGCTAGTGTGAAATGATAAGTTAGTCCTTGATCTCATTTGCTTTTTTTCTTTATTGTTTTGAATGATTTGCATGGCTGAATGTTAGCATTACCTAACACTGCCTATTTATATTCAGCATACAGTTCTTCCTTGTTTCTGTTAACTCTGGTGAACGATTATCAAGATAAGAAATAAAATAACCCAGTATGACGTCTGCAGCAGTTAAAATCCTAGCAGTAAAGGAACAAAGAAACTGTAAGATAATAGAATCATGGGACACTTTATGGAAAGATTAATCCTCTAATTATAAATAAACAGTGTTTAAGAGTCTCCTTAACTGTGGTGGACTTTAATAAAAAAAAATTGTTCATAATTGTTTTATTTTAAAAATTGTATATCTTAATGTGAATAAAATTATACTGAAGCTTCATACACACACCCAAACACATATATAAATATGTATAAATTTATTTACCATAAAGTGGGATTACACTACAGATGTAGAGGAACATATTCATATTCAAATCTAGTGACTTGTATTTAATTGGGTTAAGTTGGCATGATATGCTAAGCATGGTTTGCTTACTATAATTTTCTGGGTTCACATAACATGCTCAACTGAGAAAAGCAGCAGCAGGAGATGGCTCTGAAGACACACTTTGGCACATGAAACGGTGCCTAATCCAGGGCTTTTCAAACCATGTAGCTGGGGTCTGGTTGTTTTCAGTACCTGTTTTGTGGCCCAAACGTATAAATACATAATTGAAAAATGGAAAAGAAAAAGAATAAAAAATCTTTGTTGTGATGAAATGGATTAAGAATTTGACCACTTTTTCAGATAAATGTGAATATTTATTTCAACAATTCAGCCAAAAATCAGAGACTTTGTCAAAATGCATTTTAAGGTAGAATTCCAGGAAAATTCAATTAATGAATCAACTTATAATACCTTGAATTATAATATTTCTGAACTGAACTGAATCTTTCTTCATTTTCTGTGTCGATGGTAAGTGGTTCTTAATCCATAATTTATTGGCATCAATTGGAGGAAAATATTAATTTGAGCTTGATGTTAGCCCTAAGAGATGTTCTTTGCTACAGAAATCACAGCCAAAATACTAGTTTCATCATATTACTCTTATAATTCAGTTAAAGTGCATATAGTAATGCTTTAAAATTTCACTTATTAACTTTTGTTAATGAGTCCATAAATGAAGCTTTTAAATGATTGTTTCAACATTTTCATGAACTTTGAAAATACTAAATTTAGTGTTTTGTAATTTCAGATTTAATTCACATAAAAACCACAGTATGTCATATAACCCACAATTGTTAACCAATTAAAATCACCAAACCTGGCTTTAAATTCTAATATTTTGGCTGATGGAGGATATAATTCTTCATTTCAAAGTTCTTTCAAAACATTTTCTTTTGACAGCCATCACACCTCCCAGTGTAAAAAGAAATGTTCATCTTTACGTCATAATACTTTGCACAGAGCAATTCATATTACCAAATGTAAAAGAAGAGATTTTATATAATTCATAAACCCCACACATTTTTTGAAGAGAGGAATTCAAAAGCGAGGGCACAATTATCACAGTGTTCCTCTGTGAATATTAGAGTGCAATCATGCACAGCCTGGGACTCTGCTGTTGCTTCAGTCCCATCGTCGTTCAGTCCAACACATATTTTCCAAGTCGGTATTGCTTACAATAATAAATTCATCAATTAGCTTAAAATGGTTTCAGCTGTTCTTGTTGGAAGTAGTTTACTAAACACAAGATCTTCTTGAATGGATTCTTTACAGTCACATCTAACAAAGCACTTCAAAATTGCCAGTGTCTGCTATATCAATGCTTTCATCTACTTACAGTGCAAGTTGTCTCTGCATTTGGAGCCTTGCAAAAGACATCGTGGCTTTAGTGATTTAAAGAGAAATGCTTCATTCACATTCTTGGGTGCCGTGAAGCACCTTGTTAGAATTGTTTGCATAGACCTAGTATGCAACCTGTGGCATTCCAGATGTTGCCGACCTAGGAAGCACGGTCAGTGATGATGGATCCTGGGAGGAGTAGTTCAGCAATATTTGGAGTGCTTCGGGTTGCTTAACCCTGGTTTTGTGCAGTGTGTGAACCCAGTCAACATGATACGTTTTCCATATGTCTCCCTCTGTGCTATCTAGTAGCCCAGTCAATAGGCTTTCATAATGTACACTATGTTGGGATCTTTTTTGGGGGGTGGGAGGGGGGAGTCACTGGATTAGAAGAAGGTAAATCATGTAATGTAGGGCTACCATATCCGGTTTGCAAAAATCCAGGGAACCACTTTTTTTTTTTTTTTTTATCTGAGCTCAGTCGTTACCGACTCTGTA